AGCACCAATAAACCAAAAGCAGCAGACACAAGGTGGTAGATCACGGGTCTTCAAACTCAGCCCTTTTATGACTCGTGGACTTCAACTCCCAGAATTCCTCAGCCAGCATGCCTGGCTGAGGAATTCTGGGAGTCGAAGTCCACGAGTCATAAAAGGGCCGGGTTTGAAGACCCCTGTGGTAGATCTTCTCCCTCCTAAGAATCCCAAGTAGTGGGTCTTCATTTTGTCACTTTCAAAATGGCTTTCAAAATAGTTTTTATTTTAGCAGGGTTCTTTTCTCTCCCCAGTGGGTCTTAAGATTTATTTATTCTGCCACCTCCTCTACTATTTATGGCCTTCATAACAGCTGTACTGTTTTGTGTTATAGTTTTGCTTCACGTTTAGTTTTCACTTCGCAAGAGATAAATTGCACAAATAAATAAGCTACTACAAGCTATCTTCAACTGGCATCTGCTTGGAAATAGGAGCATACATTAATAAAATAGCCTTTATAAATGTGAGCCCAGAAATATTATTAGGATTTCAGCTTTGGCTAGTCCACTAAAGGCTGCACCTCCGCCGCCAATTTTTTATTTCAATATTGGGCTTCTTCTTTTGGCAGTTGGGTGAAGTCTACAGCCCACCTGCATCTTATGCCTTTTAAAAAAAAGGAAACAAAACTACAAATGACTAACAGATGAGTAGCAACGTGAAGCTGAAATAAAGCTTTAAATACAAAGTTAAAAAACGAAAGGAATGCGTTTTGGGAAGCTAATGCCCCATAGAGGCTAACACACTTCTTTCTGAACCTGGAAATCACCTATTCCAATTTCACTCTGCCATAACCCTCCTTAACATGCCTTCTCGCTACTAACTTAGCTCTTTGTTCTTTTCCCCATCTGCAATGTGGAGGTAACAGAGCTATCCAATGATAATATGACTGAAGCTCGGCTGCGGATCTTAATCTTTTCACCTGAATATCGCAAGACTGTTCTGAGGATCAAAGCTATAACATCCTGAGCTTATCAAGAAATTATCAGAAGCATAATATATAGTACCTGATTCAGCGCTACGTAACTACGATAGCACCAATAGACCATAGTCCCTCCTGTTATGACTAGTATTGCATTCCACTCTTCTCAAAGAATCCCAAGACTCCATTTTAGGCTCCACAATTCTGAACTTTTAACGTAATCTTCACCCCTTTTTCTTCTCAAGAACTTATTATTGTCCTTTAAAAAAAACAACAACCCACCAATAGGCCCCAAACTATCCTTTCTAGCTTGAGAAGGAATTGAAAAGTGCCAGATTCACAGCAAGGGAAATTAGGAGAAGGAGGGTCTTCGCCTTCTCAGGTATGGAGTCAAATTCCTTGATGATAACATCATTTTGAATGATCGGCACGGCCAGTAAAATTAACACCCCCTTAAATATTACCTTTACAGAAATGTAAGATTTCAAGAGGCTTTGGGAGCCCTCTAATCCACCTGGCTGCTTAGGGCAGAAATTCTGATATTATCCCAGAGCAATGATTGTCCAATCTTTTCTTGGAAGCTTCCAGAGATGGAATATCCACCTCTCTAGAAGGCAGGCTGTCCGATGGCTTAATTGCTCTCATGGTCAAGAAATTCTTCCTTATTCCAGGTCTGGCTCTCCCTCTCTTAAGTTTCCATTGATTTTTGTCTTAGACCAGTGATGGCGAACCTTTTAGAGACCGAGTGCCCAAATTGCAGCCCAAAACCCACTTATGTATCATCAGGTGCCAGATGGGCATGGCCCATTGGGTGAGTGTGGCAGCAGTGGTAATGGTGGGACTAAAAAGTTCAATCAATCAATTTCAACTTTGCAAGATCTTTTTTTCCCCGCGAGAAGTTGAAATTGATTGGTTGAACCTTTTTTTTTTGTGCACACGGCGGCCGAGGCCTAAAGCAAAAAGATTTTATAAAACCCAGCTGAAGGCCTAGGACTGGGGCGACAGCACGCGTGCCCACAGAGAGGGCTCTGAGTGCCGCCTCTGGCACCCGTGCCATAGGTTCGCCACCACTGTCTTAGATCTAGCCTCAGGTGCTATGGCAAATAAATCCACACTCTCTTCCCTGTGACAGCCTCTCAAATATCAGAAGATTGTTATCATGTCTTCCTTCTACCTTTTCTTTTACAGATTAAACATGCCCAGCGCAGTTCAGTGAGGAACAATTACTTCCCATGTTCTCAACATGTACCTTTATTAATGCAGTGCAAAATTGCACTGGCCCGGTTGGAAGCTGTAGCACATGGCTAGCTGATGTTCAATCTAGAGTCTGTCAGAATAGTTAGATCCTTCGCCTAAAATCTACTCCCAAGAGATCTTTGTTCACTTAGAATGAGAAAGGTGTTTTTTTTATTATACATGCCTTAAAGTTTTTTTAAAAAAATTATATTAGCCTTTTGTCTTCGTTCTTAGTATGGTATTTTGTCTTTATAGAAGAGAAAAAATCTTGCCAGATAAATAATAAAAAAGTACTAGTTTTCTGCTACAGAATCAAAGCAAACAAACGGCATGATTCTTTCACCTTGCAACATAAAGGAAACGAGAGAATGAATTTGTAAGACTCAAATTGTGCAAAGGAACAGGAAATGCAGTGGCAATCAACAATTTTAAATATTAGATGGATACAAGAAAGCAACAAGCTTCTGTGCAGTTGAAAAAGAAAATTTAAAGAAGCCCCATGCAAAACTTGTTTTAAGAAAAAGCATGAAGACTGAAAAAAGCAATGTCATCTGACCATTCAGAGGCAAGTATATAACTGTAGCCAAATTTTTAAAATGTAAAATATTTCTTTGGCATCGTTAGATGACTTAAAGAATGACGCAACAGCATCATTTCCTTGATAGCCTCCCCTATTATAGCTAATTCTTCATCCATGCCTTTTTGGATCCTTGCCTCAAAATATGGATTGGTTATTGTTTTCTAAAACTTGTAAAGGAAAAAAAATATTGCTAGAAAGATATACAAAGATATACAAAGAAAAGATGGCCTCCTTTAGATCAAAATTTATATATATAAGAAGAGTATTAATTTGCATAGCAAAAGTCCTGGGGAAAAAATAGCATTTTCTTAATGGGAATGATGCATTCAATTTTCAGACAATGTAGAGAGGCACATAACTTCTCTTTAGATCACCTGGAATCTTAAACAAACTTGCCACCTGGTAGTTCAAGCCAGCTTTCACAATACAAAATCCCATTGATGCCTATAACTGATAGCTGAAATATAGTAAACAATGAAAACTGAAAACAACTCATTAAGGTTGCAGCTAAAATTACATTGATGTAACGAATCACCCAGGGAAATATTTTGAACAAATCTGAAAAGATGCACGCACAAATATTTATCTAGCTTATTTATATTTAATGCTACATTTTCAGAAATCAAAACACCCAGATGTATCACTTTCATAATGTAACAATTGTAGAAAATGTAACTAATTTTCTGCTACCACAAGTTATACCAGATATTTTTACAATTCTTATTGGCACAAATTACGTACTTTTTAGTATGTAATTTATAATTTTTTAGACAGCCATTTGTCTCAGTGGTGGGGTTCAAACATGTGAACAACCGGTTCTCTATGTGGACATGCCACTTCCAGCAGTCCATTCTGGGCCTGGGCAACAAAAAATTAGCTACTGGTTCTGCTGAAGTGGTGCGAACTGGCTGAATCCCACCACTGATTTGTCTAAAATGGTATAGGGTTTCCTGCCTGAGCAGGGGGTTGGACTAGATGACCTCCAAGGTCCCTTCCAACTTTATTAATTATTATTATTATATTATTATTATTATCTTTTATTCATTAAATATGAACCTCAGTCAACTGAACATTCAAATTGGCTGGCACTGATGGTTGACACGGGTTACTACCAGCATCCTAGATGTCAACCAGATATCTCCTTAAAATGTAAGATATTCCGAGTAGCGCAGTTTTTTGTAGCATTGCTGGAGTTATTGCAGGAAGTTGCAGTTTCTTGATGTGCTTTGCAAAGTTTTTGGACATAGTTCCCAGTGTCCCGATGACAATGGGTATGTATCACTGTTACACGTTTCATCCATAATTGTGTAATTATTTTAAGAAGAGACTGAACAGCCATTTGTCCGAAATTGTGTAGGGTTTCCTGCCTGAGCAGGGGGTTGGACTAGAAGACCTCCAAGGTCCCTTCCAACATCATCATCATCATTATTATTACTATTATTATTATTCTAATGAAATTTACCCTTCCTGGATCTGAGATGGCACAAGAAGCTTTTTCAGATGTGGACAAGCATAGTGAATAGTCATTTGGTGGTTCTGGAAACCTGTAAATAAGTTTTTTTTTCCTTCCCCCAGAAAAACATTTTGAATTCTGAGAATTTTCATCTTTGACTTGGCATGTTGATTCGATCTGCATTGGGTCAACCAAGCTCTGAGGCAAGCCATTTCCAATATGTGGAACTCACAATCTTAACATTTTTCAGATAAGATTTTATAAAAAAGAGAAAATGTGATTCAACTGAAATCTCGAGGCTTTTCCAAGGGACCTGGATATTATATAGATTGCAGCAGTTTTACAAATGCATGCAGTGGGACTTTCCCCCTTAGGCCCTGCCCCTTTATGAAACATCCTTTCTTAACCATAGCCAGTTGTACGATGCCAGCTGACCAGAAATGAACCACAAAGCTATGAGTATCCAAGTTTCTTTGTTTGCAGAATCTCTGAATCTGTTCCTTTCACGAACAGTCCAAACGCAGGCACATCACACTCCAGGCTGTTACCTAAGGATGGCACCTATCATTGCACCACCGTACACACAGTATATCGCACAAGCCGATTCATTCCAGGAGAAGCTAAGAAAATACCCCCCCCCCCAGCCTGTGGCGATGCTTTGCACCCAGGAAATTCACAAAGCTGCTATGATGCAGAAAGCAGGAAACAGAAACCGCCTGCAATCTTATGGCAACATGTCACTGCCCGGGAAGCAAAGCCCAGGTTACTTTTCAACTTACCATGGTTTGTTGGGAAGGGTCCAAGATTGGCAGGAATCCTGGGCTCTTCGGGGTGGGAGTCTGCCCCAGCTCAGGTCATGGTTTCTCGGGGAGGAGGACTTTTTTCCTCCATGGGGAAGGAAGGAGAGTAAAATAAAGGCCCTACGAAGCTACACTTTGCCTAGCCCTGGAGGCTTCAGGAACCCATCAGACAGGCGCAGACAGAGGGGGGAAAAAATAGGGATTATTTAAAAAGCCTCCACTTCGCCCAAGGTTTCATTTTAAAAGGAGCCCATGCCAAAAAAAAAAAAAAAAGGGGGTGGGTGGGAGATGGGAAGGGGTCGGTCTACAGGGGGCCTCCTCCCATGGGTGGGGGGGGCAGGGGCTGGGTCGAGGGGCCTCCAATAGGGGGCGGGTCTTGGGGGGGCAGAATAAGATGTCCTGGGGAGGGGGCTCTGCTTGAAGGGGGGCACTGCAGGGGGTACCTGTCTTCTGGGGTGGAGGGGGAAATTGGCCTAACCGGGGGGGGGGTCCTGCGCCTCGCTCTCCTCGCTAGCCCCCTCCTCCTCTTCCTCCTCCTCGCAGCCCCTGCCTTGGCAACCACCCCCAATTCCGGACGGGCACTTCCGCCTCTCCTTCTCCTTCCTCTCCGGCGGCGGGTGGGAGAGAATGGCCCCGCCCACGCCCCGCCCCCTTCGCGGCCTCGAGCTCGCCCTCCCTTCCTCTCCGCCTGCCTTCCGGAATCCGACCGCACCGGAAGCGACCCGCTCAGCCGGCCTCCCCGCGGGCTCGCGCGACCCAGCTCTCTGCCGGAAGTGGCGGTGGGGCGGCGAAAGCAGGCGGGCCTAAAGCTCGCGAGACGAAGCCCCGCCCCAAAGCTCTCTCTCTCTCTCTCTCTCTCTCTCTCTCTCTCTCTCTCGCATGCGTAGTGGGAATCAACATTTTTTTTTCCCGCCAAAATAGGGGTCGGGGTTTCGCCTTCTGCCTCGACTTAATCGAGACGTGAAATAAACAATAATTAAAAAGAACATGGGTTTTAATAGTCTTAAAATAAATAAAAGTGACCAATGAATGAATGCATTCGCTTATATACTAAATACAGTTGTTCCGTTTATTCGCTTATTAAATAGAATGACATTTAAATAAAATGGACATGCCTAAAAATTGCGTTGTTAATGAAATATAAAATATTATCAAGACTAAAATGAGTTAAAATAGTAACTAAAGTCCTAATAGCTCATCCATTTCAAGAACGTTACAGTATTATTAATTAAATAATTTTTTTATATTGCACCTACTGTTAACTTAGACTAGGAAATTTATATTAAGTGATATGTTACCGAGACTAAAATTAGTTAAAATAGTAATTAAAATATTAAATAAAGTCTAAATATCACAGTATTATTAAGTATCTTAATAAAACAGTGGCTAAAATTAGATAAAATATTAAAAAGATAATTTATTATTTATCTCAATAATGTTGCATCATGAATATATTAATTAAAATGTTATCAAAACTAAACATTTTTACTAATTAAAGTATTGAGAAATTGGATTAAAAATTAGCCTTGGATTGAATGGAAAACCAGGGTGTCAAACAAATAAATAAAAAGATTTCTCATATGGGTCTACAGGTAGTCCTCACTTAATGTCCCTAACTGGAACTGGCAACTCTGTGGTTAAGCGATATATTTACAACAATGAACGAACAAATAAATAATAAACGTGCACTAAAATTACTGCAGAGACCTAGAAATAAAAAAAAGCAGAGACCTGTAAATAGTCTGCCTGTTTTTATAAATAGCTGCCCTTATTTTTGATTGTGGAAAAGGCTGCCTTTTCCATTGACACAAAGGTCTCTTTTTAAAACTTGCACACCCATTTTTATTTATTAATTTATTTATTGAATTTTTATGCCATTCAACTTATTATCAAGCGACTCTTACATTGTGCCTGCCATTTTTTTTCTACTAGAAAATAAATCTTCTGACCAAAACTAGATTCACAAACCAGATTCATACTTCCTAATTTCATCCTTAATGATGCACATGAGAAAGACGAACACTGCTACCCAGACGGTCCACCTCCTAGCCAGTAAAACAGCAGTTCAAAAATGTACAAATAAGCCGATATAATCCCAGGATTATGTGAAATAATATTTGCCTCTGGCAAATGCAGTATAAAGGAACTGGATGAGGATTTCATTAGACACACCCTGTGGTTGTTCAACTGGTTTCGATTTGCAGTTGAAAAATGATACAGATGCTGGTTTCACAGGTATTGCCAGGACTAAATCTTCGCATCTATTCCCCAAGGCAAGTACAAGAATAAGTGGCATGAAGAGAGAGTGAGAGAAATTTATCATATGGTTTAGGAGGTGGCCATGACGGCAGGACTTTGTAGCTTTGCAGGCATGCAAATGCCATCCATTTCCCAGATGGAGAAGAACATCCTGTGCCGAATATAAGAGACTGCATCAATGTTCCCTCTCTTCTTTTTTGCACTTTTTAATGCTGGGACACAGTTGGAATCCCAGGGCTGCAAAACTGTACTAAAATGATAGGAATTTAGGAGAGAGAAAATATTACTTAACAGAAAGTCAACTATTTGAAATGTTTGAGGGCATAGGATTCTCTAATATTCCAGAGACAAATAGCAAGGCTGATGGTAGAAAAACAACCATTCATGAGGAAATCACAAAGTTAAGTGAATTAGATTGTGAGTAGAACCAACAACCTAAGATATGCTGACGATATAGTTCTGCTTGCCAGTAAACATGAAGACCTTCAGCTCCTCATCAACAGGGTCACAGAAATATCTGAAAAATATGGCTTGAAGCTTAACACCTCAAAAACCAAGATCATGGTCATCAGCAAACAACCTGTTAATTTACCACCAATAAATTCAGAAGGAATACCACTAGAAAAAGTTGAAAGGATCGCGTACCTCGGTTCTAATTTACATGAAAGCTGGGACATGATCACTGAAGTAAAGACAAGGATAGAGAAAGCCCGAACAGCATTCTTCAGAATGAAAAAGGTCTTCTGCAGTCACGACATAAGCCTAAGACTGAAAATCATGCTTGTCAGATGCTCTATTTTTTTCTATCCTGCTTTATGGAGAGTTGGTCTCTGACAGAAAGCCACCTGAAGAGACTAGAAGCATTTCAAATGTGGATTTACAGGCAGCTGTTACATACAAGCTGGGTTGACAAGATCAGAAATGAGGAGGTGATAAGCTGCCTGGGAAAGCCAAGGGAAATCATCAAAACAATTAAAAAACGAAAATTAGAATATTTCGGACACATGATGCGACACCCAGAAAAATACGGCATACTCCATTTAATCCTCCAGGGAAAGATTGAAGGCAAACGAGGGCCAGGCAGAAGAAGAACATCATGGCTTCAAAATCTAAGGGACTGATTTGGAGAAAACTCAGCAGCACTTTTTTGTGCGGCTGCTGATAAAAACAGGATCGCCAACATGATCGCCAACGTCCGATAACGGATATGGCACAAGAAGAAGAAGAAGTAGGATCACTAGGTCTAAGGAAGCCAATTTGGTGTAGTTGTTAAACATACAGAATACAGAACAACAGAGTTGGAAGGGTCTTTGAAGGTTTTCTAGTCTAACTCACTGCTCAAGTAGAAGATCCTACATTATTCCGGACAAATGGCTGTCCCCTTCTTAAAATCCTCTAGTGATGGAGCACTTCACAACTTTTGAAGGCAAGTTGTTCCAACGATTGATTGTTCTCACTATCAGGAAATTTCTCCTTGTTGGATTAGGAACCAGGAGACTGAGTTCCATAGTAGTCCCTGACTTACAACTGTAATGGAGCCCAGAATTTCGGTCATATGTCATGATGGTCTTAGATGGAGGCACCCATGTAACTAATCTGATTTTATGGCTTTTATTTGTGGCAGTCGTAAAGCGAATGCTATGGTTGTAAACCGAATCCATTCATTCCACTGGAAAACACCAACTGTGGTCGTCAATCATCACATGACTGCAACTTCTGAAAACAGCAACATGTTCTTGTTCCTGCAATCACCAGAAGTCAAGACTGACTCAATTGACTGTAACAAAAACAAACCAAGATGATCACAAGATGGTAGCAGTTTTCTGTGTCACTTTACTGCCATCTAATAGTATACTGATATTTTGCAGTAATCCTGTTCTTGAGCTATTTCCCCCAACTGCTATATGAAAAAGACCAAATTTTCTACCAGTGTTGTTGGTGTCCTATTTTCAGCTTATTTATTTATTTATGAGACTTATATACCGCTTTAAGTGCAAGCACTCTCTAAGCGGTGTACACCAGTAAGCAATGTATATATATATTTACATTGCCCCCAACAATCTGGGTCCTCATTTTACCTACCCCGGAAGGATGGAAGGCTGAGTCAACCTTGAGCCGGTGAGATTTGAACCGCTGACCTGCTGAACACAGTCAGCTAAAGTGGCCTGCAGTACTGCACTCTAACTGCTGCGCCACCTCGGCTCTATCATTATTTCATTTGCAAAAGCTCCTGGATAAATTTAAAGCAGTTTTATAACGATTCTCTCCAAATTGCATGTCAAAAACGTCAAGTGGAACCATTTGAATCCAGACAAGCATATCAGAGGGCTAAGAATAGGATTCAGAAAAAGCATCCAGGACAATCAAAGGGGATAGATAATTCTGGCTTGGCAATTAAAAACGTTTTTGCAAGGAAAAAGGATTATTTTTTTTTTATAAACCCTGATGCATAAGTAGTCCCATCACTAAAAGCTTGGAAGAACATTCCATTAAAAAGAACATCCCTCAGTGGTTTTGGAAATTGGTTAAAAACTGACCATCAGATGTACACCTTTTATTGGCAGAGTTTCAAATATGGCTGGGAACAAGGCTATCTGGCTATTTTTAACAAAGCCGTGTCACGTCCAACCCCTAAACTGTACAATTTTGGACTGCACAATCATGGTCCTCTTCCTTATTCTCTACAACACATAATCCGTAATATGGTTTGTTTATTCTTGGCAATGTGTGGATTCAGCCAATTCATGGCTCAATGTGTTCTCCTTGAGTCCATTCAATGGTGGTTAATTTAACAAACTGACTAGATAAGTCATGTGAACCAGGTTAGTCGGTCAACCAGAAATGTCCCCCTCAACAACTGTTGTTGTATAGACAACACTGAGAAGGAATCTATGTCTGCAATTTTGTGCTTTTGAAGAAGACAGTTGGATCTCAATGCATCCCATGAATATAATCTAAATTTGTGCAGTTACTCATTTATGTTAACCTGATAGATGGTTCAAGATAGGGGGGAAAAGTATTTTTCC